GGGGGGGGGGGGGGGGGGGGGGGGGGGGAAGTCGGCTAAGATATAGGAATTAATGTGATGGTGAGGCGTGCTTCTGGGATTCGGCAGGAAGGCTGTAGGTGATCGTTCTGGTTTTCGCAAAAGCTCATTTTTGGAATTAAGGTTCATCCGCTCAGGATATGTGATAAAACTTACCGATAGAGAAAATACCTAGGCTGAGTATGTGACTGTTGTGAACCATTGATTCATAGCTTTTAATTTCAGCAAATTCAAGGTATATACATCGGTGTGGGTGAGTGAATTACAATATATGAGAATTGTAAATTTTGAGATATAGCACTTTCGTATTTAAAAGTGTCGTGTATGCATAATTTTCGGTACATATTTAAGATGCTTTATAACATTTATACGAGGCATGGAGTTGCGATTCCGGAGAAGCTGATTCAGGTGCAGACCTGGGAGTGCAAGGACGCCATCACCCCATAATTTCAGATTCCTTAATTCATAAAAATTCTGAGAAAGGCTGAAAGGAACTGAAAAGTTGGCCAGTACGGGATGCACGAACGGAAAATAATGCAGGGAATCGGGTGATGATGTCATTCCGGGTGTTCGACGTGGAGACGAGCGACCACTGCAACCTGGACTACGTGGAGGTGCACGAGGAGAGCGCGGGGGGGAGGCTCCTGGGTCACTTCTGCGGATCCGACATCCCTGGCAACCTCACGGCCTCGCATCGGCTCTGGGTGAAGTTCCGCAGTGACGCCGAGGGCACTGCCGCGGGGTTCATTGCCGACTATGCGCTGAGTGAGTCCCTCGATCTCGAGTGTTGCTTTCCGCGTTTCTTCTGGAACGGATGAGGCGTGCTGACGCGAAGGTCAAGGTGAATGGGGGGTGAGGGAGTGAAGTAGAGTTGAAGTGTGTCGCATTGGAAATTTAACGATGTGGATGTCTATCCCCCTCGACGATCAAAACCAGACCATGGCCAAGGGTCATGGATTCTGAAACCCTCTACAGGGTTCCAGAGACGGTCATTCAATTAGGAGGGTCTCTCTCTCCGGAGTCCCTTTCCTTGACCGCCGCGTGAACGATGCCTTAGTTTTTCTGCATCGACCTGGAGGCCGAGGCAATCGCCCGATGCGATCTACTCCAGAGTGTTGTCCTTAACGCTGTATTCGCAACGTTCAGGTTTTACGAAATCTTCAACTGCGCAGATATCGATGTGCAGACGATCGAGTTCCCTGATCGGGAGGTAAAATCGTACTCAGTTGAGTGCACAAACATTTTGCGAGCTGATTAGGTTCCATATCGCAAGGCGAAAACGATCGCGGTGCATGCGCGCCTTGTCGTTTTGAGTGGTTCTCGAAAGGACCGTTGGGTTTGTTGCGTCGCCATGGTGACCAGGAACTCACGGATATCGACGACTGCGTGTTTGCTACGACATCGCGGATTGCAGATTCCCACGGGTTGCAAGCCTGAGATGATCGTCTGTGTTTTCCGCCAGATGTCGGCCTTAGGTCACCACGAGGAGGAACAGGTTGGTGTTTTGACTCGGATATGTTGCGTTTTTTTCCAGTGCATGGGAACGAGTTATACGGGATGGAAGGAGAGATCACGTCCCCGTTGTATCCCTTGATGTACCATCGAAGAGAACAGACGTCGTTCACGTGGCTGGTGACCTCGCCGCAAGGCACTCACATCGTGGTCACCTTCACGGAATTCGACGTGGAACTCCATCCGGTCTATTACCGATGCTCCTCGGGCCTGATCGTCTGTTGCTTCCGCTCTCTCCTCTCCCCCCCCCCCCGATTAATATGTAAATTAGCGAAGGTGATCTTGCGAACAGGTGTACGACGGATCGGACGCGACGGCGCCGTGGTTGGCGGGCTATTGCGGTCAGGTGAGACCCCGTCCGGTGACCTCGACGGGGAACGTGGTCTTCGTCCGGTTCGAGTCCAATCCTCGCTACGAAGGCTCTCGGTTCAGGTTGAGCTGGGAGGCGCGGTACGAGCGGGCGCCCGCGGATAATCAGCCCAGACAAGGTCGGTGTCGTTGCGAATCGGTTGAGTCGTGAGTGGGGGTGGGTTTTGAGGGTGTTTGGGGTTTGGGGGGGCAGGTGGGTGGGATCTGGGTCGGTGGGAGAATTTTCTGTTGGGTTTTGCTGGTGCCAGGTTTTCCCCTTTTCCCGCTGCAAAAATGCTTTTAGGGGAGTTCATTGACGATTTACTGGGATGGGAGATCTCCATGGCGAAACCAGAGTCTCATTCTAGAGTCAAATCTAACGTCGAAGGGAGAGTCGATCCCTCCTACTTGTTTCACTTGATGACTTTGTCTACTTACTGGGACCACAACCTTCTCTTTTGAGCCTCCCGTTGCCTATTATCTCCTGGAAATGATTACACGTAAGGTTAACTTGTATGGAATGGAGTAAGCAGCTGAAAGGGGCAGTCGCTGATGGCTATGGGTTGGGATCAAAATATCCTTATTTACATAGTCGAATAAGGGATTCCCCCCCCCCCCCCAACCCTAAGGGTCTGGAAGACCCGTTGCTGAAATGAATCGAATCACATTCAAGTTTTTTTGTTTTAATATCCTTCTTATACTAGAGCAGACTCCGCAATATAAATGAGTCGAGGCTAACACGCTAATAGTTCCCCCGAGCGCACGGCACCCATGAAGAAACTCTTTGCCCCTTCCGTGCCTCCCGCAGTTGACCAGTGCAGACAGAGACTCTTCGTGAACGAGACGGGCGTGGTGATCCAGAACCCTGGCTTCCCCGAGGGCTACAACACGTCCCTCCGCTGCGAGTGGATTCTCACGGCGGATGCGCAGAGCAAGATCGCGCTCACGCTGGAGACGGTGGATCTCGAGAGCACCTCGTGGTGCTTCGACGCCATCCGTGTCTTCGACGGTAAGGGGGGTTTTGAACTGCTTGGTGTACCTTTTCCGTCGTTCGGACTGGAGATTCGGAAGTGAAGCTGGTTTGAAGGAGTTCGCAAAATGTTGTTTTTCTTGGAGCGATTAGAGCAAACGTTAAATCGCGTACTAATTTTTTTTTTTAGCGTTTTAAATGTTCCCACTTGATATATTTGAATTCCCCCGAATGAGCCCACGATGGAATCGCGCAGAGACGCTGCTGGGGCAGCAGCGGCTGCTGGGGACTTACTGCAAGCGCTCGGAGGAGGGGAAAGTCATCACGTCCGCCGGGAACTACATGAGGGTCCAGTTCACGTCCGACGCCTCGGTGAACCGGACGGGGTTCTCGGCTCGCGCCCAAGCTAGTAGGTCCCTCTCTCGATTTCAAGGGATATTTTTCGTGGGTGCTTGGAGCCGGTGTCACTTTAACGGCATGTAGACCGGGTGTGGCAAGGTCAAAGCACAAATTCCCAGGAATAAACGAACCTTGTGAGTCGAGTTCATGAAGCCGTAAAATTTGACGCAGGTATTCGGTGCGAGGTGAATGCAAAATGAGTGTGACTCATGATGTTCCGACGTGCAAAATTAGGTCAGAAAAGCCGGCAAAAGCGTCTCAACTGTTCACATTTTCGCTCTGGACAGATTGCGGAGGCCAGTTGTTCGTGGAACGTGGTGTGATAACGAGCCCGAGGTACCCCGAGGATTACCCGGCGGGGGTGACGTGCGAGTGGGTGGTGGGGGTGCGGCCGGGGAACACCATTCGGGTCACCTTCACCGACTTTCAGGTCGCTTCGCAGGGGTCGAGCTGCACCGAGGATTACATCGTGGTGAGTTCCGAGGTTCCGTCTCGTCGTCGCGATGTCACGGGGGAGTGGGGTGCTGACGAATGCTTCGTGAAACGGGAGGAATCAGGAAAGAGTTGAAATTGGCGATGCCGTTCTTAATATTTGAAAATTGTTATTGGAAAATATTTATAGTATGGAAATTCTGTGGACAGTTGAGGAACGGCGATAGCATCGACTCGCCGTACCTGGACGAGGGGAAGTACTGCGGGTCGTCCTTACCCGTGGTGAGACAGGAGACGACGAGCAACGTCCTCCACGTCCGGTTCGTCTCTGACACCTACGGTCAGGCCAAGGTGAGGGCGGGCGCGGCCGGATCTCGCTGTTTTGCCGGGCGAGGTTGCCGGATGGGATGGGTGAGGTGGGGTTGGGACTATGTTGGTTCTCGGGGTGGAATGATGGGCTTGGTCCAGTCGTTCGGCCAACATTTTCGGTGTTGACCCTTCAGCGTGGAGGGATATGAATTCCGGTACATATCCTGCTGCGGGAGGAGTTTCGGCCTGGGGCTTTAAGTTTGGCTTGTGCGTGCCCTCCACGTCACTCCCGCGACGGGAGATGCTTACGCCATGGTGCACGGCACTCCACGCTGAAGGGTTAAGAAAAGAGGGTTGAAAATATAAATGGAAATGAGAACAACTGTGATGGTTTGCAAAATTTGCCTCTGAAAATATATCCCATAGAGCCATTTTTTTTTTTACTCACGGATTTTTTTTGGCGGGGGGGAAGGGTTTCAAATTGGAGTTCCAAGAAGTCGGAGGGCAATGCGGAGGGACGTTCCACCTCACCAACGCCATGCCCGAGTTCGTCTTCTCCACGCCGAATTTCCCGAACCCCCCCAACGCCTACACGGAATGCGAGTGGGTGATCGTCGCCCCGGCCGGGAGGGAGGTCCAGCTCGACTTCCTCGAGTCCTTCCAACTCCATGTCTCTCAAAGGTCTCTCTTCTCTCTCTCTCTCTCTCTTTCTCTCTCGTCAATGTTGCTTCGCCTGGCTTTAAGCCTGGAACCGTCGACACTAACCGTGACACCAGCATATAGCGATGTGACTGTTACTGTGATGACGATAAAATACACACGTGTAAGTATTGTCAACCATAGAGATTGCACGTGTGTAGGGTATTGGAACCCTATACCGTAGGTTCTATAGGGTTCCTATAGGAGTCCGATAAGATCTCTACGTTCTACTCTACCTTTTTCGCGGGGGTATACGCATGCTGATTTAATCGCATGTGCATGCGAGCATGTCAAGGCGCTTGCGAGCGTGAATTTCATACTGAGTAGAACGACATGAATTCAAATAAAAAATGAAAAATACAAGATGCAAAAATACACAATTGCTCGGAAAGATATGGGTTGGATGCTATGTATTGTTTGCCAGGTGCACCTTTGAATACCTGGAGCTGCGAGACGGGGGGACGAGGAACTCTCATTCGATGGACAAGCTCTGTGCGTCCACGTTGCCGGACACGCAGAGGTCGTCTGGGAATGCCCTGTACGTCCGGTATCAGACGCGTCTCCAGTATCCCAGGCCTGGCTTCAAGGCTAAGGCTTCCATCGGTGAGTCCCTCTCGGGTTGCATCCTTTGCATCCAATCGTGAAGAGCAGACGATATTTCGGAAAACGAGATGGTGAATATGGTTCACGTGGCTCATCGAGTAATGGCGCATGTGTACATGCGTCAATTCTTCAGTTACGGAAAAAAATCCCGAGTTAGCATGGTACTGTGCTCAAGATGACACACCAGCCTTTGTCAGTTTACTGCCAATAGTTTATGATATAATAAACTGCAACAACATAAAAAAAAACATAATAGAAGTCGATTTATCAAAGGCTTGATTGATTTGATTTCGAAATAATAAAAAACTTTTAAGTATTTAAGAAAATGTTTAGTAATGATTTATTTTAAAAGATTTGTAAAGAAAAAGTTCAATAGAAAAATTGCGCTATATTTTAAAAGGTTGAGCGTTAATCAGCATGCCTGACAATTAAAAAAATTATCTTTCTACATCTAAAAAAATCTATAGAGGTGAGTTTTTGAGGCGTAAAACTATCAAACTGAGATAACGAGATGCTCGATATGAGAGATACGCCTTTACCCGAGGAAGACATCACTTTTAAAGATCACAGCAAAGGGTTCCCAGAATACTTTTTTCTTCATTTTTTTTTAAGGATTCCAATGCTCTAAAATGATATCAATTTCCATAAATTTATATATTTTCATTTTCGGGTGCCTTTTCCGATCCCGTAAAACAAGTTTTCTGTTTTTGACCCTCCTATGAAATCTTGCAATAAAATTTCGAACATTTGAATTTTCATATCATCAGAGGTCAGATCATGGAGACGATAATAAACTTTGACAAATCTAAAAGATTCGTTTAAATGAGTCTTTGAACGTGCGCAGTCCAAGTCGGGAGTCAAGATCTTCCGGCCTGAAAAATCTACCGCCGGAAAGTGAAGGATAGTCTAACATAAATAGGACTCTGTTATTAAAAAAAAAAAGAGTGCTGTGTGGTCTTTTGTAACTCCGAGGGCAAATCGGAATGATTTTCCGATGAGCCAAAGCGAGACAAATAACTTACCGGCAGGTTGTGAAGGTTTGAGAATGGGTGATACTCGTGAACACGGAATTTTGAGTAGCACTTACAAAGAAAGGTGAAACTCAGCTGCATATTACATTTCCACATTTGAACAAAATTGAAATCTGTAAGGCTAAACAATTTATCCTGGATACAAGGCAGGTTCTGTGATCGTGTGCCTTTGCGAAATGGAAAATCACTCAAAAAAGTTTGGTTAGACATTAAATCTATGTTTAACGTGTAGCCTGGACATCATCTGATTTCCATGCTTTTGCAGTATTAGAGGTATAGTTCGTTTGCAGTAACCATTTTTGGCTGCATTGGTAAGGGAGATGAGAAGGAAATCTGGTTGACTTGGGTCTCTTCTGGAATGGAGAATGTCGAAAGGGAATCCAGAATCCTGGCTTTAGATTAGAGGGTGAGATACGAGCGCACGCGTTTTCGAGCGTTTCAAGGACGAGAAAGGAAGTTTTGAGAATCGTCTGGGATTTCTGGGTGTTCGGTGGCAGGTTCGGTGAGCAGACCGAAGGATAGACGTATCATAATTGTTCCATGATTATCTTTTTTTTTTGCGGGTAGCTGAAGACAGTGATTTGTTCTGTGATTTGTTGTCATAAATGTATATGAGGGAAAATGTATGCACTTTATTATTTTTTCAGAATAAAAATGTATTCTGGGGCGAAAGCGATGACTTTTACCCCGGCATTAAGTAAAAAATATCAGGATGTAAAATAATCGGATGAATCCAAAACTTGGTCACTCTCTGATGAACTGGCCCCCCTCTCCCAAGCAGCCCTGTGCGGAGGCCGGATGACAGCCACGGAGGGGCTCATCATCTCGCCCAACTACCCGCTCAAGTACCCGGACAACGTGGAGTGCGAGTGGAGGGTCCGCGGGCTCGATGAGCACTACCTCCAGTTCACCTTCCTCGATCTTCGCCTGCCCCAGCGCAGCAATTGCTCCGTCACGGATCACGTCGCGTTCTACGACTACAATGCATCGGGTAACGTTCGGTTTCTCTTCGGAGGATCGGCGAGTTCTTTTTTTTGTGTTCTATTCATCGATTTGTTTTTTTCCGGTTTCGTTTCCATTTATGCATATTTTCTGTTCTATTTCTATTTCCATTTTTATTTTCTTCTCGCGTTTATCCTTCCTCTGACAGCCCCGTTGGAAGGGAATCTGGTCGACCGGGTGTGTGGGATGGTGATTCCTGCCACGATCGACATGTCGTGGAGTTCTGCCATCGTCAGGTTCCGGAGTGATGAGGTCTCCGCCCCTTCGTATGGCACCGGGTTCCGGATCAAGTTCAACTCCAGCTACGAAGGTGACACTATTTCCGATACTCCGGATTCGCGTTTATGGCGTGTTAGAACTCCGAAAATGAAGAGGCATCGAGAAATGTCGCTAAATTTTCGAAGGGGACGAAAAAGTCGAAGCACGTGGAAAAGGCTTAGAAGAGGGGTGTTCGGCCTCGAGGCTCCTCACCCTGCAGGCATTTCATGCGCAACTGGGAATTTTTCCTTGAGAACTGATTGCTCCGGAACGCATAAGAAAGAAATCGTGCGTTTCTATGTAATGGTTCTGATGGGAAAATAAGGAATAGACGCACTCCGATCGTGCAAGTGGATGTCTTTGACAGTCCCACATATTCTAATGCAGGGTGCTCAAAGTGCAAGGCGAGAAAAAATGCACAACCAAGGAGAGTGAGTGCTCACTTGATTTGTCGCAGACATCGTTGCGTAGAATTTCTGCCTGGCATCCTCTCTTCCCTCCTTCCCTCCCTCTCTTCCTCTCTTCCTCCCTTCCTCTCTTCCTCCCTCCCTCTCTTCTTTTCCTCCCTCCCTCCCTCTCTTCTTCTTTTCCTCCCTCCCTCCCTCTCTTCCTCCCTCTCTTCCTCCCTCCCTCTCTTCCTCTCCGGGTACCCGAATAATTACCCGCCGGACATGGATTGTGTTTGGGCCGTCGAAGTCATGGAGGGGCATCAGATTCAGGTCTGTCTCCTTTTGTGCGGTTTTTGGTAGGTTCTGAGTGCCTTCTTCGTTCGGCACGTTCTTCTTTGGGCATCGGCAGCTTGCAAACTTGCCGATGGCCGTGCCATACCGTCGGTCGAAACCGGTGGTTGCCGATGCGTCGGTACGCAGGGTTCACACTAGCTTTCTTAAATCTTGAGTCCTGGCGCCTGGTTTCTACTCTGTGGGAACACGTTCACGTGGTTGCCAATGAGTCCCACGGACGTGGATGTGTTGCAAATATGAGTCCCTCCAAGAAAATACAAGTCAGGGACTCGTTATTGCGAGTTAACGTGAACCCTGGGTGCAGCCCTAGTTATAGGTGAAAAATATAATATAATTAAGTTTATCAAGTGTATGCCAGACTTTCATTGAAATTTCGTTTTCGATATTCTAGTAGACATCCCGAATTCCTCGTGAGCTCTCTCTCGCGTGAGAAAAAGTGCGAGAGAAAAGTATGAACATTCAAGCGCTGTTTTAACACTGTTCAATATTACGTAATGAACTGCAGTGATATTTACGTATATCCCTAAGCTGATGATTTTAGGGAGAAATATTTTTTTTCTGTCCATGAAGCTTATTTTTCCATGTTCACCAGTCACGATGAAATTCTGAAATTCTGCAAGAGGCATCGATTATGGGATATTCCAGATCCACAACGGGATGTGGATGGAATACACTTACCAGGCCCTGTTACCGACGGTCACGGCGTGCGGTTCCACCCCTCCGGATCCGGTTTCCTCGTCCGGCCCGTACATGATCGTCTACTATCGTACGTCCGGCAATCCGGGTCGTCGAGGCTTCCGGGCCCGGTACACCACGGACTTGCCACTCGGTCAGTTGATCTATGCCGATTTTCGTCACAAGCATCACCGGAATGGCTCATGAAAATGTCTGCCTATTGCAAAAAGAGATCGGAGATTCGCGTAATCCATTAACCGTGAACGTGACGTTTGTTAATGCGTGAGTTGTTAAATTAAGAGTGCGGAGGTGACTTGGAGGAGGAGACGGGACACGTCACGAGTCCGGGTTTCGAGTCGGGAGGTTACAACAGGACGTGGGAGTGTCTGTGGACGTACAGTCGACCGGACTTGCCCGGTTCTACCATGCGGCTGACCGTGAATGCCTTGTATCTCGAGGACACGTCGCAGCCGGGGTATTGCGTCTACGATGCGCTCGAGATTCGCGAAGGTAAGATCTGGATGTGACCGGGAGGTCGGGAGGGTTTTTTCGTCGGTTATCGGGAGACGATCGGTGCAGGTGCGACCGAGGAGGGATTCATGTACGAGCAACTCTGCGGGAACGTCACGGATCATCGGTCCGTCTACATTCCGGGTCCGCAGTTCTGGATGCGATTCAAGGTCAGGGTTGAGTGGGTCTTTGTGACCTCGTTCGAACGGGTTCTTGCACGGGGGTGATCTTTGTAGGCGGACAGCGGGGATCATCACCTCGGGTTCAACGTGACGTACAGGAGAATCCCCTGCGGGGGGGTCCTGGCGGGGTCGACGCAGTTCACGGTCGCCTCGCCCGGGTACCCGAATAATTACCCGCCGGACATGGATTGTGTTTGGGCCGTCGAAGTCATGGAGGGGCATCAGATTCAGGTCTGTCTCCTTTTGTGCGGTTTTTGGTAGGTTCTGAGTGCCTTCTTCGTGGGGGAGGGGAAACGGGTTTGTTGTTGAAGTGAGGGCTGCAAGAAATTTTTTGAGGAAATTCGATGTAAATCGGCTTGAAAATTCGTTTAAATTTTAAAGTAAAGCGGGGTAAAATTTCTTAAATGAAATTAAACTATCAAAAAGGAAAGAAGTTGAACTCCAAGGAGCTGTTGAGAAAATATACGCTTCGTAATTCATCGCCTTCAAACTAATGCATTACTACTGCATTATCGGGGATGAGGAGTCATTTGGACCGGATTCTTTGCAGGTGGAATTCACGGATTTTGCGTTGGAGGCCGCGGGGACGGGAGGGAATTGCACCGGGGACTTCCTGGCGATGAAGAACGGGAGGTACCCGGATTCGCCGGATCTGTTCTCCGTGTGTGGGACCCAGTCCCACCCGACTTTCAAGACTCAGACGAATCATCTCACCGTCCGGTTCCATTCCAACAGCCTGAACCAGGCCAAGGGGTTTAGCATCAGGCTCACACCGGTCCAGAGAGGTATGGGGGAGGGTAGCGAGGGTGTGGTTTGGTGTGCTCGGTACTCTTTCGCTTTAAGGCTGTGATGAGCGAACTTTTTCGACTGCGGGCCGCATCTACTGTTTTTTTATTTTTTATTTTTATTTGGACTGAATTACAGGTTTTATGTCTGCTGAGTACCAAAATAATCCTTCGCCTGGCTTAGTGAACCAGGCACTAAATTAGTAGATGCTCATGACATGCAAATCACTAAATAAGAAAATTTCTCACCTTTTTACTGAGCAAAATACCAAGCAAGTTTGCTCAGGGAGCAGTGATACACTGGCCAAGAAGAGAGTGAGGGGATATTAGCCGCGGAAATATTGCTCGGCCCGCGGGCCGCGGGTTGCTCATCACTGCTTTAAGAGAAATGGAGGAGTGGTACTCTGCCTGCGGTAGTGGGAAAATTGACACAAGAATAACAAAAAAAGAAGAAAAAGAGAGCAAAATGATATAAATTGAATCAAAATATCAAGGACTAGGCGAGCAAATGGAGAAACAAAAAAAAAATAAAAAAACCAGCAAAACTAGCATGATAGGAAGCAAAGTGTCTTATAGACTGTTAAGTTTATGAACAAACAAACTCATGACTCTTGTTGGATCCAGGATGCGGTGGGATCCATCAAGAAGAGACGGGTTCTATCAACTCCCCCGGTTACCTCAACGACACCAATTACCAGGCAAACATGGATTGCGTCTGGGAGATCCGATTCGAGAACGGGTACCACGTGGAGCTGAAGTTCGTCGAGAGATTCGACATCGAGATGAGCGCCAACTGCAACAACGACTACGTCGAGGTCGGTCCAGCGAGACGCGGAAATCCGGTCGCGAATCCCGGGGGGTGGATGTCGTGATCGCGGTGGTGTCGCAGGTGTTCTCGTTCGTGGATGGCGATTGGGTGAGCGAGGCGAGGTTTTGCGGGAGGGAGAATCCGGGGACGGTCAAGAGCAAGAGTTCGTGGATGAGGGTGAAATTCCAGTCCAACGGGGAGATTGACGGCGACGGGTTCAAGGTCTGGTTTGGGTCGCCTCGTGTAGGGTTAGGGTTTCCTTTTTGATTTGGGTGTGCTCGTGAGCTCGTTCGTCAGGTTGATTTATGACTTTTTAAATGGTTGAAAGGATCTATTTAAGAAAAAATAGCCAGCTGAAGTGCATTGCTTCTTGAGTTGGGGACAGATATCCATCTGGTGTAGCAGTCGGATGAAGGAATGAACGCTTCGTCGTATTTATGTGTTCTTTTCTTTTTTGATTGGCTCTAAATTAATCTTATGGGATTGGCCGTTCCATGGTAATGTTTCAAGGTATCTTTCCCGCTTGATTGTGAAGGATAAAGAAGGGAGAAAACGAGAAAAGGAGGGCTAGCTGTATCTTTTTACCCCATCAGAGGGGAAAAAAGGAGAGGCGGAAAAAAAAGGACACGATGGGGGGGGGGGGGACATCCTTAGCATAACGTTATGCTTCTGGAATTAGATTCAACATATTGAATACATTCTCTTTTTTCTTCGTCGTGGCAGTCTTCGCATTCGGGGTCTGACGCAAGCGTTGGAAACNGGGGCATATCGAACTTGTTTCACTCATTGGGTGACATGCACCAGATTCGTTTAACTTTAAACTGATTCGTTTTCATAATGGGCGTCTATGGGAATGCGTTTATCTTGGTTAAAGTGATTCCCATACGGGACTATTGTGAAATCAGATTAGTTTAGCTTAAACGGATCCGGTGCATCCGGTCACCCATTGTCTACGAACTTATTTCAAACCAAGCCCACGATTACTTTGAACTAAGTCTTTGATATAAAGCTGTCGCTCTGTCTTTGGTCGATTTCATGTGGCTTACACATTTGCAGACATGCAAACCCCCTCCCCCCCCCCTCCTTCTCACCCCCTCCTTCTCACCCCCTCCTCCCCCCCTCTCACCCCTCGCTTTCATTCTTTCCTGACCTGAGGGGATTGCGACTCTCTTGTCTACTGGGGCAATTCCTCGTCTGTGAAAAACAAAAAAAAAATATTGTCTGGGTCTTTCCCCATTCTCTATCATGTCGGAAAGGAACCTTGGAACTTTTCGTGGAATGGATTTTTTTCCCCATTGCGATTCCTTCTAATTTGCATCGCTGCTGCTGAAGGCCGAATGGAAGCGGGCGTGCGGGGGCACGTACACGGAGGTGCAGGGCATCATCACCTCCCCCTCCTTCCCGGACAATTATGGCAACAACTTGGACTGCCTCTACAATATCACCGGAACGCCGGATTCCTACATCGTTCTCTCCTTCAATCCTGATGGTTTCTCCTTGGAAGGTACCGTTCTGTCTTTGGGTTTTTTGAATGGGGAAGTCTGAATGTTTTTTGGAACGTCCCAGCCATATTTTCTCTTCAGTGAGGAATTATTATGGCTTTATATTTCTTATTGGCATGATTTTGGTGTTCATTTGGTTTCAATTATTCCTTATGTATGCTTTTGTACATTCATTCATTAAAGAATTTTTTTAAGTCCTCGAGGAGGTTGTATCTTTTATCGAATTTCTTCTTTTTTTTTTAGGATGATGAAGTTTTCATTTTCATTTTCAGATGAACCGACGTGCAACTTTGACAACGTGACGGTGACAGCAGTGAACCGGGACGGATCGCGTACCCGAGTTCTGAACCCAGCTTGCGGGACGTATGCGCCTCAGCGGGTCGCGGCCCGCGGGGCTCTGCTGGTCCGATTCCGGACTGACGAGTCCATCGTGTATCGAGGCTTCGAGGCTAATTACAGCATGGAGGGTATGTCGGTTCTGTCGCTCTCTGAAGGAGTTTCTCGGGGGATGGGATGTGTGATTGGGGTGCTTTGGGAATAGACTGTGGAGGCTTGGTGACGAGGGAGGGCGTGCTGAAAAGCCCCCTTCATCCGCTCTCCTACTTGCATTCCATCAATTGCACGTGGGTCATCCAGGCACCCAACGACAGGGCCGTTCAGATCAAGTACGTCTTCGTCCGTGTTCATATCAGGATGAGGTGTCTCAAGTACATGCTGGAATAGGCCTATATCGTGCAGGTCGTACCAGTACTTAGTGTGCTGTTATTCGAAAAGTTATCCGATTAGGGGATGAGTAATCAAGAAGGAACATAATCTCAGCCTTATTAACTAATTCGAGATGTTAAGCTTACTAGGATAAATCCTTCGGAGAATGAATTTCCTTCTAATAGGTCTTATCACACCATGCACTGAACAACAGTACTTCTTCCATGGTGATCTTTGGCAGATCCAGAAGTGAAGGGGGGGAGGGGGGGGCAGCCGTACCCGCCCCCTCATTCCCACCCTTTCTGGGTCCGCCACTGATTGTCACGAAGGAATTTTAAAAGGAAAGACGAAATCTTCGTCAATCGTCGCGTCGATGCATAGGTTCGAGGCCTTGGACATCGAGTATCACCACCAGTGCAAGTTCGACTACGTGGCAGTGTACGAGGGTGATGGGATCTCCAATGCGACTCTGCAGGGGAAATACTGTGGGGTCTATAACGAAACGATCCAGGGCCTACCCACCGTGAAAAGCCACTCGAGCCAGATGGTCTTGGAATGGAAGACGGACCAGTCGGTGTCCAGGACCGGCTTCAGGGCCGTCGTCAGTTTTGAGATCGGTGAGTGGTCTTGACCAATACCTTCCATTCCGGATGCTTGAGGTCGTGTTAACTTCTTACACAGTGAAAACACTGATGGTGTATCGGAGATACTTTGAATGTTCTGGCGAATTTTCATCCATCTAGGATGAACTAATTTCGAACTGCAAGATCATCTCACCTCATTTCTCAATAAATTTGATGAGAAGTTAATTGATGAATCGTGCTCAGATTTTTAAGGTGATAGGTTGATTCTCCTTTCATAAATTATCTGGTATGATTTCGTGCTGAAAAATCATGGGACTACTGTTAATTTTCACCTTTGGTGAATCAAGTTTTCCCTCATTCATTAAGGGGATTCACCCCCAGAGAGTATATCCAATTGCCAACGGACGTGTTCAGGTCCCCGGCAAGGGTGTGGAGGTTTGATCGAAGTCGGTGGGGAACCAATGAGGATCATATCACCGGACACGGACAGCGATGGACAATACGAGAAGAACCTGGACTGTCGATGGGTCCTGGACGGGGACCCGAATCGCATCCTTCAGATCCAGTTCAATTCCTTCAACCTGCAGGATTCCCCCGACTGCTCACGAGACTACATCCAGGTCTGTCGCTTTGGAATCCTTCCTTTCTTCTTTCATCGAACTTTATGCGGCTTTACTTCCCAGTTTCGTTCTCTTTCCGTCATGTTACAAATTTGTTACATAGTTCTCGTACTGGTTAGGGTCTATCGCATTTGATCTGGTGTTCATTCTACCCTGAGTTTGTGTACGTGGGATGATCAAAGGGTTCTGCAACCAAAGCTTTTTTTTCTGAAAGCAGAAAGTAGCGGAAAACTTGCGATAATCTCCCATAAAAGTACTAAAGTACTGTAGTAACTACACCTCCTTGGTATCTATGCACCGCTGCATCCCCATTGTTCACCTTTGGAAGGCGTCTTCGTAGTCCAACACAGGAGTACTGGACAACTTTGCTCGTATAACCATTTCTAGCTCATCTATCCTTGAAAGTGGCCTTCTAGCAATAACTTAAGCTGAGAGAACAGCCAGAAGTGGCAGGGAGCCAAGTTAAGAGAGTAGTGTGGGTGGTGAAGAGAGATCACTTGCTAGTCTAGGCAGGACATCGCACAGTGGGACAAAGGCCCGTTTTCCTGGCGAAAATAAAAAAAAATCGAATTGTCTAGTATGATTCAGATACACTACCCCTCAATCACCAAATAACCGAACGTCAGAAAACTACAATAAATTTAAAGAAAGTTGAAGTAGTTTTCCAGGTAGAACGGTGTAAACTCAACGAAAATCTGACAGTTCCTCCACGACTTGATTTCTTCAGGTTAAAAAGAAACCAACTTGTCCAAAGAAGAAAACTGATCGATCTGTTCGGACTTGATTTAGTTGATGTTGCATGAAATTATATTCTAAGTGACGTTATTATGAGCACGGTGCCTATTTACCTGAACTCTAATCTTCAATTACTGCTCCGGCATATCTTTTGTACGTTGCAGAAAAAAGGGCAGTTGAGTGTGATGAAGATTTGGGCATTTCTGAAATCCATGTATTTCCATGTTCGAAGCAAATGAAGTCATGGACTCAAGTGGATAAGCAGTGTAGCATCAGTATCATAAGAAATATGGGAACGCACAAATGTACTTTCCTAGTGTTCTTCTGATTACTTTCGGGAATCCCCCTTAGGAACGACGTATACAAAGAACTTTGTTCTGAAGGATCGCATATCGACTTATCATCGCATCACCTCGTGATGCGATGAGATGTTAGCAATTCGAGAAATGCAATGAGAAAAATATTTTTAGAAGCAACATGAAATCTCACTCCTGTTGTCAAATTAGCAAGAGGTAGCAGCTAGTTTTATGTGGCTGCTAAAATACTAATGCTAGATTCCAGAAATGCCCAAATCTTCTTTGCACTCAAACTTTTTGGCAGCGTAAAATAAATTTTGCGGAGCAGTAATTGAAGATAAGAGTTCAGGAAAGTTTGCGCCGCGCTCATAATAACGTAACTTAGAATATAATTTCATGCAACATATAAGTACTTAATCAGAAGGCTCCCTCAAGTCCGAACAGATCGATCACAGTTTTCTTCTTCGGACAAATTGGTTTCTTTTTAACCGAAAGAAATCAGGGCGTGGGGGAGTTGTCAGATTTTCGTTGAGTTTACACCGTTCTATCTAGAAAACTGCTTCAGCTTTCTTTAATTGCAGTTTTCTGAAGTTCGATTATTTGGTGATCATACTATTGTATCAGAATCATACTAGACAATTCAAATTTTTTTTTTACCAGAAATATGGGCTTTTGTATCACAGTGCGTCGTCAGCTTTCCTTGTGAGGGTCAGCATTTTCATTGTGAAGGACCACCTGTCATGTTCATGCCTTTGGTCTCGATTTCTCTAGTTTTCTGAAGACCCTTAGCAAAGCTTGCTGAGTATAGAACGCATCTGTGACGGCTCTAGTCTTTGGTCAACTTTAAGTCTTTAATCAACAGCCACAAGATCTTGGGGGATTGAAGAAGATACGGGAGCATATCAAATAATATGGTTCCCTATTTTTTTTTTACACAAAACTATCAGAGCTCGCAAAATAATAAAAGTGCTTGAATAATTTTGGTAACTATGTTGAAAAATAGTTGATGTACTCGTATTTGTTCATTTGTATGCACAATGTCTTGGTTGCTAAGATGAAAATAAGTTAGGAGCAAAATATTTAGGGAATCTTATTTTTTGATATCCCCTCGTAGCTAACTTCCTCTTCTAGTTTCGAAAGCCAAGCTTCAAACCTTGAGGTCGAGGCTCATCTTCTGAAAGCCAGATCATGTTGGACTTCATGGTGAAGTTATCTTTCATGGTGAAGGACATCCAACATTCGTCACATGTGACAACATCGGAGAGTCTCCTTGGACTATTAGCTGCAAACATCTCGAGTCATAGGTGACAAGCTCGGACACATTCCAATTTCCGACTGCCTCTCAGGGGATGAGGGACCTATCTCACACGCCTCTTGTTCAAACCTCATGGACACTTTTGTACCTGATGCCAAGCTGGAGAGATAAAAGTCTCAGAGTGGCACCAGAATTCTGATGAATAATGGCGTCACCACGTGCAATTGTTGCTTTGTTCACGGAAGTTATCAATTGTCCAGATCGAGCCTTATCTACACCATTTTTCCTTCCCAACTTTGAAATTCCTTATACACCTTGCAACTGTGTCAAAGGAGTGAGCACCCTTGCCATAAACATTGACCAAACTCCATGGATCGCCTTTGCTTGGCTTCCAAGCGGGAGCAGGAGATCCTTTAGGGAGCAGGAGATCCTTCCCTTGTGAAATCCATTGAGAAACTGACAAATGGAATATGTCTTCGCATGCCCCTCTGCAGGTGAATGAGAAACAAATGGGTCAGAAGTTGAAAGGTTTTGATGCCCATGAGCATTAAAAAAGAGCTCACGCATCAGGTGTTACTCGGATTCAGGATTTTTTTGGTTGCATTGCTTTTTGATCATTCCTCTTATTTTCATTTTCTTAGTCATTTCAATGATGTAGAGGGGTTGTAGCTGACATAGCTGCTAGCTATAAATAATTTTGAAATCCTAAAGTTTATCTCACAGAACCATGCAGGATGAGACTGTAATCCCTTTCTTGAAAGAGCACAAGTGGTTTTATGCGTTTTCTCCCATTCGTGCTAACTCAAACTTAACAAGGAACATTCATGAAGTTCATAATTAGTAAATATGGTAAATATAACTTCACGTGCCCTCGTGGCCCAAGGAATGATTTATTAAATTAAAAAAATTATGAGTTGCAATAATGAAAATCAATATAAACATGGGAGAAACAAAAGCGTAGCTCAGGAAAGGAGCATCTTATGAATGTGGCCACATCACATACACCATCACCTATTAATTTTTGACAGTTCTGTTGAAATATGTCTAATTCGAAGCAATATTGTACTGGCGTGATATGTCTTTTTTCGTAATCGAATACGAGACCTTCTTCATATTCATGCTCGAATTTCGAATCCCCCTTCGACATTTGACTTCAAAGTCTCTGAAATAGAACGGGATCAGTTATTTAAAAATATATATAAATTATTTTTAAATTGAAAGAATTTACAAGTTAATTTTGTAGCCAAATCTACTTCGACATCTGATGGCACTGATGTAGAGGTCCAATAGGGAAATTTAGCCTCCAAGAGCTTAACCCTTTGAGTGGTGGGTTTTTACATCCTCGCCGGACCTACAGGTGTGAGTTTTTTTTAGATTCCGCGATTGTGACAGAAAATTACATTTATTTTCCTTACATAAATAAACATCCTACTTCCATAAGGGGTTGTTTCTCTATTGTGCCTCTATAGTAATATATAATTATTAAATTCTGTAAATAAAATGTCACGTGCCCTCGTTACTTCGTTCAGACACAACAGAGAAACAAAAAAAAGAAATAGAGAAAACGTCATGTCATGTGTCAATTGGGATGAATTCGAGTATGAATTTGAAGATCTCGTATTCCATTACGAAAAAAGGGCATATCACGCCAGTTCAATATTGCTTCGAAATGGACATATTTCAACATAACTGTCAAAAATTATTAGGTGATGGTGTATGTGGCCACATTCATAAGATACTTCGTGAGCTACGCTTTTGTTTCTCCCATGTTTATATTGATTTTCATTATTGCAACTCATAATTTTTGAAATTTAATAAATCATTCTTTGGGCCACGAGGGCACGTGAAGTTGTATTTACCGTATTTACTAATTATGTACTGTATTTGTAAACATTTTAGTCAAAATCGGAGCGTCACACTTCATGAATGCTCCTTGTAAGCTGGAAATGTTTCATTTTTCCGGATAACATAAAATGATGCGTCAACCGCATATAAGACAATTGAGCTGCGATCAAGGCTGAGTGACATTTAGTTAATCTTGAGCAGGAAGATTAAGAGTCTTAACTTGAAGGAAACAGAACCTTAACTTGGAATAAAACTTGGAGGGCCCCAAGAGGGTGATTGCCTCGGATAGAAGTGGGATGCCGAGCCTCGATAGACTACTCTTCGCAACCTTGTCGTCGCTCCTTGTGCGAAGTTTACCGACTGATCACTGGCGACTACCGACTCGGTCCCCTTGGACTAAGAAGAGGTTCTCCGAGGGGCATGGAAAACCCCAAAAGCTTCAAGATGCACAACATCCTGACGTTTGAGTCCAACTACGCGCATACCATACATATATTGATACATACCATATACTGTACAATACATTCCTCCAACGTGCTGTATACTTAGTATTTTAGTCTTCATGTTAAGGATAATGAACGAAAAGGGATGGAAATTTAACTAAATCTAGCCCAACGAGTCTTCTAGCAAGCTTTTAAATTTCAGATTGATTGCTTGATCCGTCACCAATAATAAGACTGTATGATGCAATTAAGAAATGAGAACTCAATCGAATACCACGCGCTCACCAGAATCTAAAGCACAGAGTGACTGAGCAATTCAAACAACAGATTCTGAAAATTTAAAACTTTGGATGTGTCCACTTGTTGTCTAAAAACAACTTTGACTACTTCCCGCAATCGAACGCGAAAACCGTGCTTGCCACCGATGCATTGCTTGACAATGTCTGTGCTGATCTGTTCCCACGCCATTTCCAGCGCTTCCTGTAACTGGTCGATTGACCCGAAATTGGCAACACCTTCGTTAACCTTTTTGTTCCGAAATCGCCCCAGATGCAATAGTCCATCTGTCCATCAATTCAGATTAGGGCTGTTTTCCAACCACGGTTACGAGTCAAGAACGGCGGATTTTTCCGGCAGCATAAAATCTTTCGTCAATCAAGCCGTGTGCGAAGACGTTGAGTCCTGCTGGAAAATGAAATCTCCGTCCGAATGGACTCATTTCTGACTTCTGCAGTCAGAAATGAGTCAATTCTTAAGTAAGGTGTTTGTGTAATACTCAGCATTCACTTTACTCTCGGCACCACAAGTGCAAGCGAGTCTTGTCTTTCTTGCAGACACCAGCGCTGACCATGTTTGGTAAGGTGCGCAGGTTCTCGCCGAACTGAAGAGATCTGTAGGCTTAGCCTGAGCCTCGAGAGGGTCAGCATGGGTAGTATCGAGATAAAGATACTTCTCGCCGACGATACCGTCCTTTTGGTCCAGTCTCGATAGGAGCTTCAGAGCGCGCTCGGTCGATTCGATTCGGAATGCATTGCGGTCAGAATGAAATGGAGTCATGACCCAAGTCGCGGGTCATGGTCCTCTTGAGAATTCCTAGAGTGCGCCCTACATTTTAGGGGGATCTCACAGGAACAGGTGGGGACCAGAACCAGATCCCGAGATACGTTCAAGTTCCTTGGGGTGGCCTGTGGCGGCCAAATCTGAAATTCAAAAGGACGCGAAACTTTCGGTTGGTTTATGAGAGCGGTTTTCTCCCCACCCATTCCTACGGTCATTAAACTGTGGGTAATGACTAGGGAACATACGCGCGAATAGGTCCTAAAATATCCAGATAAATATTCGTTGAAAAATGTCGAAATATAAATTAAATATGCAAAAAATATACTTTTTCTGACCCAGAGTGAATTCTTTGGAAGAAGGAATTACAGGGTACATTTCATATCGCCAAGCTTCCCCTCCCCCGGAGTAAGGGGCAGCTTGGAGTTAAAATCAGGTGCCTGCTGGGCCTGTTGGTCCATTCTTGTCATAGCCCATTGCTGCTGGAAAAAATGTCGTTGCTATTCATAAAGATAACACGTTTTTATGGTGAACTAGACTTTTCTCCGCAGAAAATGGGCGAAATATGCGAAAATATGCACATATCGGGTGGCGCATAATAAATGCGCCGATATTTTCTGTTCACATCTCATTTCAGATGAGGCATAACTGCAAATAATACCAGGTATACATCTATCTTTCCTCTCGGCCCCATGAAAACTATACATTTTTTAGCTACCAGAAAACACCCACGGCAGTTGTTCGACTGAGACAACTCGAAAATTTTCATTTTACGCCCCATATGAAAAGATGCACAATGGCTTCTTCTCTGGCTTTGTACACGTGATCTGCATTGATTAGGACTATACCGATGTTTCGGCCACCACCGGTTACGACCCCCGGTGTTACACTATCGGCCGATAGCGCCAGTACCGGTGCCGATGCCCAAAGGACGGGCAAAGCGAAAAAAAATTACATGAGCGTTTGGACGTGGCTTAGTGATTTTATAGGCGATTTCATAGGCAGGCCTCAATCGGCACCGGCCGATGATTATGAGGAAAAAAATCGACCTTCGGCCAACCGGCCAAATGTAGCCATCGGTACACCCCTAGTACATCTCCGGATCTCCATCACGGTAATCTCATCCCAGGCCTATCGAGTAATGTCTCTCCGTTCTGCCGTGAAGTGATCCGTTTTGATCACTCGACTCACCAGCTAGACTCTTAACGCCAAGACCCTTACAAAATTGACACCAGCAATTCAACAGTGGTTCATTGATAATCGCCGGTTTTTCAATATCCATTCAACCGCAGCTCACCGTTGAGTTACCGTTGACTAAACGGTGACATTTTTGTACTTGGAAAGACGTCAGCTTGACATCATACAGTAGCCCAGTAGCCCCTTTTGCAGTAGCCCCTCCTTCCGAACTGACACACAAATCTCGACTTGTTTTTTTTTTATGCGCCATCCAGTATGTGCGCAACGTTGCGTATTCTTAGAAAACACAAAAATATGCATTTTTAAGCCTTATTAACATGGAAATAAAACCGCTTCATCAACTGATAAGAGATACTCCTATCCTATTGCATGCTCTCACGAGACGGCACAAAATATGCATTTTTTGCATAAAAATCCGTTCCCTAGTAAAGAATAAAAGAACCAGGTCGCGGATACGAGCTGCCGTAATGAGGTTCTTGCGGCGGGTGTCCGGTGTCACGCGTTGTGAGAGGATGCGAAGTGCCGTAAACAGTTGGAACCTCCAGGTTGAGCAGCTACACGTTCGGATCTAGAGATACCATGTCCGTTGGTTAGGACATGTCTCCTACATGCCTCCCGAAAGACTCCCAAAGAGAGTCTTCCAATCTATAATGTCCGACAGAAGACCAGTCGGTAGGCCTTGTGTGATGTGGACGGACTGCATTGCGAGTCTTTGTCACGAGAGACTCAGTGTATCACCTGCCGAGTTTAAGCCGTACAACAACACTCCATGAGGTCCGCGCTGTTTTTACTGCTTCACTTTCGGCACGATGAAACAGCTGACAATCAGAGGGGACTCTTTACCCTGCACTGCACAAATTTGGGTGCTTAGGGAGAGCGGGTTTAAGGAAACTGCAGATCACTCCCACGAACACTCATCGTCATCGTCGGGCGAGGACTATTTTATTTATCTCCACGAAGTATATTTTCGAGAAAAGAGTAAAAGCAAGTTCCGAATTTCATTACATAAAAGCTACTGAAGCCTTGCGAACGCACACATGCAAATATTCATTACATCCCTTCCTGCATTCAATAATGTACGAAGTATATATTTTTAAACTTTTGTATATGAGCAATGAAATTCATTACATTGAACTTCGAACGAAATTATGCCAAATATCAGCAAAACGAGAGTGCTATAAAGTTAAATCTACAGGAACTGCTTTATTCATGAACATGTCCGCGAAAAGGATGAGTCAACCCTTTAAGCAGAACAGAGGGTAAGTACACAGAAGACTTAGATAACATTTAATATATACAAGGTATTACAAAAGTCAGAAACAATAGTGAAATAAACGGGGGATTTTCTTCAGCCTAGACTGTGAGGAACTCACAAGCCAATCTGAGTTGATACTGGAACGCCAAAGTTTCAAAATTTTCAAAAGCAGGTCGAAGTGATCCGGAGTGATAATGAATGACCCAAATTGACTCATTGACTCAACTCGAGCCTAATTATCTTAAGGGGCCCAAGATTACTAAAGTTGACCAAGAGTGCTTTAAGTTATCCTAAGGGACACATAATCACCTAATCGGATGCATAATCCCGATACATTGGATGCATCGGGACCCATGGCGACCTATGGTGACCTATAGGGTCCCATGATGACCCCTCGTGTCCCATGGGGACTCGCCGTGTTTCATAGTGACCTATGAGGACCGAATAATCCACATTGATTTTAATCATTTCAGAGTTAGCAAAGTTTACTCAGTGACCCGAAATGACCGAACGACTAAACATATGCTCAATTATCATAAAGTGACTCATGTTTTGAGAGATCAACTCTTAATGAACTAAGGTGACCGAGTGACCATACCTATAACAAATTAGCATAGAATGACCCAAATTGACGCAAAGTGATCCAGGTTGACTCCAAGTGAGGCAGGGTGGCCAATATGTATACCTTGACGAATTTTAGACTTAATTATCCTAGAATTACTAAATGTATACTAGAGATACTGTTTCCCAATGGACCTACAAATGCAATCTAACAAGAAAATTTCTAGATTGACCCAAGTTTCGTAATGTATATACTCTAGGTCAGGGGTGTCAAACATACGGCCCGCGGGCCGGATCCGGCCAGCGGAGGTGGGTCATAGGGCCCGCCGTCTGTTCTGGAAATTTGCGCTTGGATTGACTGTTAGCATCAATTTCTGGGGAAAATTATGGGTGCGGCCCGCAGGCATCTGCAAGGTAAGGAATGCGGCCAGTCGACCGATTTGAGTTTGACACCCCTGCTCTAGGTTGCTTTGGGTCACTCGGGCCCAATTTTGAGGTTAAGAGGACTTCGGCCTTCCAGTATTGACTCAGATTGGCTTCTAAATCCGAGGCTAGACAGGATATTATGCCCATGGTTACTTCACTATGGATTCGGACTTACGTTAGACCATATATAACGAAACTGACGGACGTACAGAATGACTGGGGCTATTTTATGTTCAAAAGTAAAGGGAAAACTGAAATATAATTACTACCTGTTCTCGGGGTGCTACTTTAAAAAGGAATAGTGCAACCCTCCAGAATATTACCTTGAAGAGTCTTTCAGGAATCCTTTTCCACTCCGGCGAAATGATCTTTGCATTCCCGTAACCAAAGGCGTTGCATTAAAGAAAATAATATGCCATACAAATATCATCAATTGAAAATTAAAGGAATCGAACAATGAAGTTCCCCCACCTGTTGACTCCAGCATTCAAGAGCAGACTGAAAGAAAGGTTTTTTCACCTTGAAAACGATGTCAGAGTGTGATACCGTTGGTTTTTGCTTGCAGGCTCAATCCGCTGAAATCATGGCCTTCGCGGCACTCTCGGCGGATGCGACGCATTTCGGCGAATTGTCGCATTTTCTGAATGGAGCGTTTATTCGGCTGCATTGAGGAATCAAAGTGTGGTAGCGTTGGTTTTTGCTTGCTGGCTCAATTCGCTGAAATCCTGGCCTTCGCGGTATTCTCGGTTAATGCGAGTCATTTCGTCAAATTGTGGCCTTTTCTGAAAGCACCGTTTATTCAAATTGAGATCCAGGTCAGAGTGTGGCAGCGTTGGTTTTTGCTTGCAGACGCAATCCGCTGAAAGCATGGCTTTCGCGGCACTTGCGGCGGAAGCAAGGCATTTCCCGAAATTGTCGCATTCTCTAAATGCAACTTTTATTCAACTATAGGTCGATGTCGAGTGTGGTAGCGTTGGTTTTTGCTTGCTGGCTGATTCCGCTGAAATCCTGGCCTTTGCGGCACTTTCGACGGATGCGACGTATTTCGGCAAATTGTCGCATTTTCTGGAAGTACTGTTTATTCAACTAGAGGTCGATGTCAGGTTGTGGTAGCGTTGGTTTTTGCTTGCTGGCTGGATCCGCTTAAATCCTGGTCTTCACGGCACTTTCGGCGGATGCGACGCATTTTGCCAAATTGTCGCATTTTCTGAATGCAGCGTTTATTCAATTATAGGTCCATGTCAGGTTGTGGTAGCGTTGGTTCTTGCTTGCTGGCTGAATCCGCTGAAATCCTGGTGTTTGCGGCACTTTCGGCTGATGTGACGCATTTCGGCAAATTTTCGCATTTTCTGGAAGTACCGTTTATTCAACTAGAGGTCGATGTCAGGTTGTGGTAGCGTTGGTTTTTGCTTGCTGGCTGGATCCGCTGAAATCCTGGCCTTCGCGGCACTCTCGGCGTATGCGACGCATTTCGGCAAATTGTCGCATTAACTAGATGAAGCGTTTATTCGGCTGCATTGCGGAATCAAAGTGTGGTAGCGTTGGTTTTTGCTTGCTTGCTAAATCCGCTGAAATCTTGGCCTTCGCGGCACTCTCGGCGGATGCGAGTCATTTCGGTAAATTGTGGCCTTTTCTGGAAGCACGGTTTATTCAACTAGAGGTCGATGTCAGGTTGTGGTAGCGTTGGTTTTTGCTTGCTGACTCAATCCGCTGAAGTCCTGGTCTTTGCGGCACTTTCGGCGGATTCGACGAATTTCCGCAAATTTTCGTATTCTCTCAATGCCACGTTTATTCACTTTGAAGGCGATGTCAGGTTGTGCTTCGCGACAAATGCGACATCTTTAGTAAATTGCCATTTGGATTGTATCTTGCAATTATTTGGAATTTGAGATCCGGTGTGGGAGGAGTTCTTTCAGTTTTTTAGGTAATAGCAGTGATGACTTTTTTTGCGGCACTTTTTGTGAATGTTTTGTATTTTGGGACCTTGCAGTGTGTGTTGTTCGAAGCGATTATGCAGCTTTGTTGCTCCATCATTTTGGAATAGAGTTTCTTCTGATGATTTTTTCTTCACGTCACAATTTGCGATTATGATGCTTTTTTTTTGGAAATAATCTCATCTGCAAAATGAAGCGTTTTAGCAGCCGGAATCCGAAGTGTGTGCGTGATTGAGTTTGTTTCTTCTTACTAGCTCACACCATCGACGATTTGGTCTTCGCTACAATTGCGACGAATGCGACAAATTTTGGGCAATATTTTGGGCATATGTACACGATGCGATTATGCAGCTTTGCTGTGATATCACAATGTTGTAGTTGTTTTTAGCTTCCTTCCTTCTTGTGACCTTTGGTTTCTTGAAACCAGACTTGTTAAGCATGTTCTTCAACAATTATGAGCTGACATTGATCTTCCAGGATGTTGTCATCCTTCAGCGCATTGTTGCAGCTGTGGTATCTCGCAAGAAGTATTTTATCTCACACACAAGTCCACAACCCATCCCGTTTATTGGCTCCACATATATATATTTTCCAAATGTTACCTCAAACTTGGACCATTTGCGTGATTTCTTGGGGAGCGAGACATTAATTGAGGCGTTTTAGGAAAAAGGAAAATAGGGAACTGTCTTAATTTTCTGTTGCAATTTAGCGAACCAGCGAACTTGCAGCTTGTGTCTAATAAAATAAAAGGTATTGCTATCTGATGAGGGTATTTCGTTTACCATTTCTTGTTGGCAGCTCGGATCATAAGTAGAAGGGAAACATTACGACAGATAATGTATATTACATTGTAGGACGGAATATATGTTTTTATGCTTTCAAAGTAATTTCAAGAGTCAGTGATAAACCTGGGACACCTCGCCCAAGAGATTCCGTTCATTTCCTGCAATTTTTTTTCATCGTTAAAATTATGACCCCATTTCGTCATGACCTTCCTATGTCGTTTTCAGATCTGGGACAACATGGTGGCGTCGTCGGATCTGATCGGTCGATTCTGCGGCTCCACGTCTCCTCCCCCTATTGCGGCTTCTAGCAATTGGCTCTACATTCGCTTTGTCACCGACGGGATGAACGAGTTGTCCGGGTTCACCGCCACCATCTCAAACATCGACTGTACGCTCCAAATGAACGTTAAAATAATTTGAAATGCATTTAAATTCTATGAATAGTTTTTATTGTTAACAATATTTGTTGATAGCAAACATTGTTAACAACTTAATATTTGAATCGGAATCTGTTTCGTGGCAGTGCCGTGTGGATCTGTGGCCCCCATAAACGTTACGACGTCAGTCGGAGAGATCTCTTCTCCGAACTATCCTGATAATTACCCGGTGAACACTAGATGCCGATGGGTCCTCGCTGCCCCAGAGGGTCAGCAGGTGACCTTGACCTTCAAGACCATGGACATCGAAAGGAGCAGCAGCTGTGCCAAGGACGGACTCATAGTCTCTGATGTCTTGCCCGTTTGTTTCTCCTACCTTCATTTTCTCTCATTTTTGTTGCTTCCAATAATGGGTTTCCCAATTCCGAAAAATGGTTGAATATTTGAGTGTATCCTGAAATTGAGAATTTGACGCTTGACAGGATTCCTCAACGGGAGTGTATGCGAGTCGGGGAGACAGGCCAGAGGCCAGGATGATCTGGGTGAGTACAAACAGAAAATTACACTTTGGTCAGTACTTCGTGGATTTCGGAAGAAAGATTCAAAAGTATTTTCAAATTCCATCTGGGAATAAAAAGTAAAACATAGTTGTGCATGCCCCTTCTGCATGGCTCGAGAGCTTCACGAATCTTGCACTACTCGGAGGGAAAATATGCTGATTTCAGGGAAAATAACGAGTGGTCGATTTATCCATCCTCGTAAAGAATTAATGACTTATTTCAATGAGTATATAACAGCAGACTAGAAGTACATGAAAGTAATGCTGCACTTTCATATGTACTTTCTTCTTCTCAGTCTTCCTGCATTTCAGAGAATGACCCGAATTGTTTACTTTCCGGAGAATAAGGGCGGATTTACGAACCGAGAACTCTCCGATAATGCAACTTTATTTCAAGGAAAATACATTGTATCTATATTTGAAATGCTCCAATTAACGTTTTCAAGTTGGTTTTTGCTGTTGATATATTTCCGGTGGTGAAGCGAAATGAATCCAGGCAATGATATCGAACGTATTTCATTTGGAGTAAAATTGATTACTCATATGCGTATCGCCCTTTTCATGTACTTACGGCATTTAATATTCCTTTATGAAACGTATTCTCAGCTATATATTTTCATAACTTGCTATTTAAATATTTAGTTCTGAAATAATTTTAAAGTATGCCTAAAGCACGAATTCTCCCTCATTTCTTCTCCAAGTTTCTGGCTCCCTAGTTGGCTACGCTCTCTCTGCTCGTTCATGGCTTTAGGGAAGTAGAAGAGAGAAGAAAGGGGGTTAATTTCACTTCCTATCGTGGCATGGTAATTTTACTTATTTACGCTGATTTTCCGTAAAATCGGCGAGCCCATAACAATCCCGTAACATTTTTTTCTTTATCCTTCACAGTTGCTATGTTGAACTGTGAAAAAATCGCAAGTAGGAACGGAAATGTGATTATAGACAACAGGGAATCCATATGAGTTAAAATGACCACAAAATAATTTTTTAAAGTCCATTTATGTAATTCTGTCGAGACCAAACAATGAACTTCCAGGCAACGCAAAGGAGTATGCCCAATATAGTGTTATTTTGACCCTTAAACCGAATTCAGTGAATCATGTATCATTTGAAAGGGTGTCCTTTGCAGAGTAATAAAATACCACTTTTGCTCCAATCTGATGGGTTTGAAAAAGTTAGGTTAGGTTAGGTTACGATTAGGTTATTTTGCGTGAAGTTTTCATCAGAACACATACTTTCAACAGCTTTGAATAAAGGGAAATGCAGACTACCAATAAAGTTTCGCTATATAAATAAAAGTGAATTGTATTTTGTAAAAATCTTACAATGTTTCTCATCATCATTAACTCTGATATCATGAATCATACATTCAAACTTTATTTAACTAGAGTTTCCAAATCCCAGCTAAAGTTCACTGATTACTTCCAAAATGATGATCTTTCTAAATTGTTAGAGGATGGAAGGTATTTATTGGAAGTACCATTTCAAAACAGAAAAATAATTTAACCTAACCTAACCTAACCTAACCTAACCTAACCTAACTTTTTCAAATTGCTCAGATTTGAAAAAGAATTACATTTTTAGGTTTGGCTAAGGACGCCCTTTGGAAATATACACATATCTTTGAAATTGGTTTAAGGGCCGAAACTGGACCTACTCCTTTCGACTTCGGTCTAGCAGAATTCGACTCAACGAGTTTCACCCACATTTAACATTTTCCGACTCTTCCGTCTTCCTTGGATTCCTTAGTCCCCATACGGGATGGGCCAATCGCACGTGTATTGCGGAGGGGACGTTCCGCCGGCCTTCCAGTCGATCGGCAACACCGTCTCCATCAACTTCTACAGCGACTCTGGGAACGTGGCGAAGGGGTTCCGCGTCCAGTTCATCACCACGCCTGTGCCTGGTTCGTTCTCTCTCCCCTCTTCCATCTGCTTTCATCGCGTTTAGGTGAAAGAATAGAGCGCTGATTTTGTCGTTTTAGTGTTGGAATCGAGGGCCGAACGACAATGGCTGTTTTGTTCTGCTGTTGATTCAATCGAATTGCTAGCGTAACGTAATGCTTGGGAGTGTTTTTTTTAATGGTAGAAATGGTACTTGTATGGCCCCAAAAAACTCGCCAATTTGGAAGTACATGAATTAACATTGCATACCTTTTGCTAATCCTTATTCTTTTCTCTTTTCAGATTCTAACATTTAAGGCAGTTAAATAAAGGTACCCTAACTCAACAATGGCACAATAAGGTCCCATCAGCTGACAGTTAAACAGCGTGTGCGAGTTGTAGAGACGTACCTATCTAGTTCAAAAAAAGGAAAGTACTCAACAGTCGGTGAAATGTTCGAGGCTGAGTTTCCTGGGTAACTTCTGCCTGAAGCTTCGACAGAAACCACGCTTGGTAAAGAAATTCCCGAGATGAAGGGACATGACAGAACCAAAATAGAGGCAATAGTGACCGCCATGATTCAACGAGTTTTGGACAACTTCCTGGTTAGGGTGCGTGCGGTCGTGGCGCGAGATGTTCGCTGGATCGAACACGTGATCAGTTTTAATTCTTTTGCCAATTAGTCAGTGAATTCGGAAAAAAATTGCATAATTAATTATTGATAATATGCCATGCAATCATCTAGTCGACTGTAATTGTGTCAACGAGTAACATGTTCTTTTCTTTTATTTCTCAGCAATTTTGCAGAAAGTTGTAATTGGTGGTTTTTTTGGGGTCACTCAGTAGTTCATTCCTTGTTGAATGTCCGTAAATATTTATGATCTGAGCTACTACGAGAGTCTCGACCAACCTCCCCGAGGTTTCACGAAGTACCAATCATTTTCCAACGCCTAAGAAATGGCACTTCACGCCCCTCCATATCGCATTTCTCATTGAAGAAAAAAAATGTCTCCTAGGGTGCAACGTGACCTACGAGCACGGGAACGGCCGGATCCGGCACCCGGGCTGGCCCGGCGAATCCCCGCAGGGCATCATCTGTTACATGACCATTCGGACTCCCCCCGGGACTCGGATCTCCGTCTACCCCAGGGCACTCATCATCGCAAGGGGGAACAACTGCACCGATTCCGTTCTTCAGGTCGGTCGAGTCGGCTGCGTCCCGCTCGGGCAGGGTCTCGCCCTCCGTCTCGAGACTTTTTCAGAAACATCAAAACGCGAATGATCCTCAACTCGTTTATCGTTTCTCCCTCGCTTGGTCTCATTCAAACAATCATGCATTTCAAACTCTTGCTCGTATCGCCACGAACTGGAATTATTATTTTTTATTTTTTCTCGGTTTATGATGTGAGTGTGCTAATCTCGTCAGTTCCGAGATGGCGTGGAAACCACGTCGCCGTTGCTGCTGTCGCACTGCGGCTGGGCACCGCGCCGATCGGTCTTCTCGACGGGGAACGCGATGCAGCTGCTCTACAAGACGCCGGCCACGTCGTTTCATTCCTATTTCGACCTCACTTTCACCTCCACTGACCGAGGTGAGGGTCGAAGCCTTCGTTCGGTGCTCGTAGGGGATGCATGTGCGACTGGAGGTATCGTGTTCGTCGTCGTTGAAGTTGTCTGCAGTTGGGATTCTCGTTGGTTGTCGTAGCTGAATCTGGAATTAAATTGTCGTCAGGGTGTTTTACAGAAATTTTTTGTGGGTTCAATTGACATTTTCGCATAGCTTGGCTAATGTTTCTGTATGTAATTCTTCCAGCTAGAGTAAATCACCCGTGGTCGGACACTATAACGTTCATGATTACCAAATCGAGCATTCGCGAGGTAGCCCTTAGAAGCAGTTCTTCCCTGTACGAGACGAACGTGTGACTGCGCGAAAGACATGCGGTGATCATGATCTATTTGTACGATTTCGAAATGTTTGGCCGAAGTAAAAGTTTTATTGCGGACAGGAAAAATTGAAGAATACGAAAGGAGACAACTTTCCTTAAGAGACGCTTTACGAGGAATGATTTATTTCTGCGCTGAAGTTATTCCATTTGTAAACTGGGGGAACAATGCTACACGGAATGCGCATGCTTTAAGTAGGATATTTACTTCCGATGTGTCCGAATTTGATTTTTCGCGCATCAAACTCGGACACCTACATTATGAGCACCGTTGGATGCTGAGGCTTGAAAGGGAAACATATATTAAGCTCTTATTCCTATTCGTATGTTGCTCCAAGGTACCAAAAATGAAGCATCCATCTTGTACCGTTCTGGCGGGACGATCGGTGGTTTTACTCTGCTGGTTACCCCGATGAATCAAAGATTCCAACGATTCGTTATTTGCAGGTCAGGGTTGTGGCGGAGCATTCCAGGAAATAAGCGGATACTTTACTAGTCCCTTTTATCCGGGACCTCCAAACAGTTCTGTCGACTGCCGATGGGCAGTCAGCGTCCCAGCGAACTACCTCGTCCGCCTTACTTTCACTGGTTTGTAATTTAGTTTCTCACCTCGTTCATTGGTTTGGACGTAACCAGAAATGTGGATCTTGTGGCATCTGTATTAATTGGATCGGGTTTTCTTCAGACTGGGCTTTCGGACCTTCGGGTTCTTGCGACACAAATTTCATGGAACTGTACGTGCCAAACCCTGGGATTGGAGAATCTGCACTGTTCTCTCGCTTCTGCGGGGATGTAAGTCTTATATCATTTGACAACCTATGACCATCTGTCGGTTCCACTTAGTAAATTTCGTGCCCGTTGCAATGTGGATGTATTCATGGACTTTCATCAGAAACAAGGGAGATTTGGCATTCACACTGATAGCAAAATATAGAGTATTAATTCATGGGAGTAAATTTTGGGAATCATTTCTGCACAGGAACAACCCTCAACCTTCAATGGTGAAACAAATGCAGTCGAGGTTCGATATGTGGCCAGCTCCAATGTGACTGGAAGGGGGTGGACTATGGCCTTTGACTCTCTTCTTCTACAAGGTTCTGGATTTTTACTTGTCCCTTTCATCAAGTCATTCTTTCAAGTATGAATAAAAAATATAATTAAAGCTTTTTATTTTTCAGGGATTCCCTTGCCTGGATCATAGAAGGAATGAATCTGCCACCTCTGTGATACCTGCCATTCTCATCAGAGTTATTGTCTTTACTCCAATGGTTATACAAAACGTTATTGAATCAAAAGACGGGTATCATGTGTTGGACATCATGAGAGTCTTCCTTCATGAAAAACAGCAGAAAATACACTTATAATAAAGTGATCAATAACATATATGCCTTCATCTGGCAATACTTTGTATAAAGTATGACAAAAAATTTCATTCCAATTTTACTGTGGAGACATTGAGGGTTTGAGGATCCTGTCACAGAAGTTTTCAATAGCATCATAGAATGCCTCCTTCTCAGCATTGTTAGAGTGAGTCCAAGCCAAGGGAAGGTGGGTACTTGCAGGTGCTCGATCTGCACAGAATACAAACATTCATAACAATAATGGAAGGAAACATACAAAATAACCAGCTTCATCAGGAGAATGTGATCTTCACCCTGATAGAAAAGCCCTGAAGGATTTTTGGTAGCAGCTGGAGAGACAGCCAGCCAGATGGCAGTGTCGGCTCCCTGCTCTGGTGTGCGGAGTCGATCCTTCATCCGGTTGTAGAAACTGGGCATGGAATCTTGGACTCCTGGTGTATCTGACCAGCCTGGGTGCATGCTGCTCCACCAGATTTTGGGATATTTCTTGGCATAGACCTCTGTTAGCTCCACCTTTAATTCAGTGGGAAATGAGTTCAGACAAATTTGGGGACACGGTATTCAGGTATTATCATTGACAACTTATTGCAGTCCTTGTGATGAACTTATGAAACAGTTTTTCTCTGTATACCTCAATGAACACATAGGTACTGGGGTGAACTACTCTTTATCAATGCACCAAGTGCCCATGGAACAAGAATCAAGAGGAAATCTATTTCTCACTGGACCTGTTGTGAAGAAATACAGGGCATGTTTTATATTTTGATGGAATTAATCAATTACAGTTTTCATCCTGACTAAAACCTTTATTGGAGATTAAGTTACTTTCACAAATCTTTCCTCATTCATCCCCTCTATATACCAGGTAATCCATTCATAATTTACCAGAGATGTGAAACCGAAGATCTTGCTTGAATCTTACTTGGTGGGTAAAAACATAATTCAATTTATGGGCTTATGCATGAACAGCCTGTACTAAATGGGATTGATTTCTAGCAATTAGTAACCTTGGTAATTAGGGATTAATATACAGAGTGCCCTAAAGTGACAAAGACTATAGGCAAGTTTTATATTGTTGAATCTAAAGAAACCCACTTATTTTTGTGTGAGTAGACAGAAAATTGTAGACTTTGGAATCACATCACTTCTTTTCTCCTATCACTTTCTTACAATCAAAATTTTGATTTTTTTCCAACCCTTGTTTAAAAACCCTAGGGCAATGGAGCCCATGAACTCCTTAAAAGTTAAAGCCAGGTTTTATTTTCAAAGAGATTCAATATTGGGTCCACCTTTTTTAATTTTTAATTTTTTAAGGAAAATGCGACTAAGGAAATTGCGCCCAAATTTTAGGAAACCCATTTGTTCCACAACTGGAATGTGAAAAAACAGGGCTGTTGAATTTTTATGTTAAATGACTAAAGAATCACTGGTGAATGGGGAATTTCTGAAGTATTTATAATGTTCTGATTGGGAAAACACTAATAATTTTGAAGTGTATACTAAGTACCGAATGGAAACAATTTGATGGTACTTGGTCAGTACCATCCCTGGCATCTTTTAGCTTAAAAATTTCCTAAATTTCTTAGACACCTGGAATCACCAAATCAATTCACTTATACTCAAACAAGTATCAAGGAAATTATTTCTGCCACATCAAAATGGAAAGAAGAAATTTGTGATATTCTAAGTTCGAGTGATACTCCATGTACTTCAATGTACATGCATAAAGTAATTATCACTTCAGAGTCAACAGTAAAAAGTTGCTCAAAGAATGTCACTTAATTTACTCTTGATAGAAGGTACTTGAATATATGAGCAGTGGTCCAATACAAACAAGACTCTACTTTGGTAAAATTAATATTATATATGGCCTTCTAAACCTAAATGCAAATAAGAGTGATTTCCCAAAGACAAAGCATATCAGGAATTCATTTTTTCACTAGCCGGCTGATTTGTTCAGTGTGTGTAAATGTGTGCTGATGGACACCCAAGAACAGAGACCTGTAATAAAATCCTGGCAAAAGGTGAAACAGGTGCCAATAAGTATTGATTACTCCATAGTCTGTGATCATGGGGCAAGTACTTGTGTTATGTCTATGCCTATGCCTAAAAAAATTTAATCTAGCAATGAAACATTTTTCATTGCTTTTTAACCTATAGATTGCATGAGTTGGAACATTAAATTTATTTTAGCAATGAGATGTTGACTGGTCAACATGGTCATTCATGATCATGTAGTCATAAGGCCTAACCTCTTTTTGGGCTCATAACCATTCTTTTCTGCAAATGGTCTAAAATGACCATGTTGACCAGTCAACTTCCCATCCCTAGTCTATCACTTGTGAGTCATGACATATGTAATGGTACAAAGACTACAAATAAATAAATAAATAAATAAAAGTTTGTCCTATTTACCAAAATTGACCATAGTTGACCATATTGACTGGCCAATAACCTATCCCTATGTACAGCAGTGGGCAGCAACAGTGGAAAGCCCATGACCATACATGTACATTTTGCACATTTGCTGGCCAGTGCCCATGCACATGTATGTACGTTTGGGTTTATAATGTGTGGAGGCCATATTCCTTTCCTTGTCCAGAAATTGGTGCCTCTAACAGCCAAGTTAGTAACTATTTGGAGAAGCTGCATGTATGGACAACTTGGTGGGAAACTAACATTGAGGAAAAAACCTGGGCTCTGAGGTGATGCCCTCCCTCTCCACTCAAAGGGTTAAAATTCATAAAATCAGTGAAGAAAGAACATCATGCCAGAAGATTAGGAACTGCTGCAACCTGCATGCATTCCAATGGTATATAACCTGATTCAAGATGACAAACATATGACAAAGGAACATGCAAACTGTAGGTAATGGTTCTCATGCAGTTGAGATGCTCTATAAGCATTTCAGCACCCTTTTTGAGTGTGAAAAGCAGTCACAAGGTGAACCAAGGTCACACAATCATAGTTCTTTTGCTATGATGATATTGAACTTGTTCCAAGCCGAAAAAAAACATTGCAACATTTCAAGATGATATTCAGAACTCAACAGTTCTTGGGATCCTAATAAGAACAGAGTTTACATCATATCTTGCTTATATGAAAATAAGCATAATCTTATTCAAATTGGATGACCCATCACATTTTGCTCAAGGGCTACGGCTGATGATTCAGAACTTGAACCATAATTTGCTTGATTATTGGACCCAAAATACAAACAGGATTTGGAAAGAAGCTGGACAAACCTCTTGTCTCTTAGTCCTGGCATATGCCATAGTGCCATCAAAGTGCTTGCCCTTCAAGGACTCCATATTGATGTCATCCTTATTTAGTTTCTGGACCAGCATCCCACCAGAAGAGACAATGACCACACGGGGATTTGGGGAAGACTCCAGTGCTTTGATCAGCCCTTTGGTCAAGAGATGTAAGCCAGCTGTATTCACAGCAAATGTCTTCTCCACACCTTCTTCTGTCAAAACCCATGAGTCCATTAACACTCCTGCATTGTTGATCTGGAAAACAAGGATTTCTGGGCTAAATTGTTCATTGTTGGGAGCATTTATGGGTTTCTTTATATGCCACATACCAAAACATCTATTGGGGAGTATTTCTCAGCAAAGGAGGCAGCAAACATCTCCACATCCTTTAGCTTTGACAAGTCCAGTTGGTGCAAATGAACATCCTGTTATATATTAAATCAAGATTTAATGCACATTTCATAAAATAATATTTGAGCTTAAATCCTATGTTCCACTGTTGATATGCTTAATTCCCAAAAAAGTTCACTCACATTATTTCCTGATTGTTTCATGATTTCCTGGCGAACCTGTTCACCTTTCTGTACATCACGGCAGACCATGTGGACTTGAGCATTTAACTTGGCCACTTTAGCTGCCATGACCTTTCCAATTCCACTGTTGGAACCAGTGATTACAATCTTCTTCCCTTTGCAGTCAACCTTCATATCCTCTTCATGGAAATTCCGAGCTGCCCGTTCATATCCATCCCTGTCAGAAAGGAGCAAATCCATCTATATTGCATGTATAAAACCTAATATCTGTCTGTTTTAATGCCTCAAAAGCTCTGTTCCAGTTTTTCAATTTAGTCTGACACATCAACCTATGGTATTTTCAATGCATGGGTGTTGGAGCCAAGTAAAAATTGCTTGTGAGGGGGGGGCAACATGCCAAAATTAATATTTCTTTTTTCTCCAAATAGCCAAGCCTCATGCAATTAGAATCATGTTTTGGAAAATATTCTTCCACTGCAATCAAAAGAAGCTATGAAGGAGCAAAGGGGTGCTGAGCAGAAACATTACTGACAGAATGTTTCCTTCAGTTACATGGAAGACACTCACACCCCCCTCCTATGCCTTCAAGGGGGGAAGGGGGGGTTAAACTACTTGAACCTTCATTCAAATGCACAATTAAGTCCATCAATGAACAGGGGGAAATTTCCTTGCACCAGATGGAGCCTAGCTTTTTGGACCGAGCATCATTAGGTCTAACGAGGTTCCATAGAAAGCCTAACGTTATTCATAACAAGAACTGATTTCTGGATCAAAATTTGAGCAGGGTAGAGATCATATTCAGCTCACCGTGTGTACTCCCTTAGGCCTTTGAACAGCCAGACTGTGTTGCGATACAGCGACATTATCCTTGGAACGTTTAACCTCAGAGACGTTTAGGCATACGCCTACCTCATTCGTACCGTACTACGCTGTTGCTGCTGGCCATAAGTGAAGCACATGGCAAATGGTCGTGTCCATCATTACTGATTTGGTCCATAAATAGCACTGATCACAACTGCTCAAAATAGGGTAAAATTGTCTAAGAAAAAAATGGGAAATGAAAGAATATTACTTTAGAAACAAAAAATAGTTATAAATATCATCAATGGGAGTAAAAACGATGAATTGAGGACTGAGATAATGGAATACAGATTTTTTTAATGTGGCATCCGTGAATATGACTGTGCAGGAGAACCAGGCATCAAGCCAAGTGGTATTGCGCCATGTTTTGCAATATTCTGCAACACAATGGACGCGTCACCTTGGCGTGGCTGTTGAGTTTTTATCGCAAGTGACAGCTAAAGTAAGATTTATTTCCGTCGATGTCGCAATCGAAGCCGTGTGCATTATGTAAGGTGGTGGTAAGACCTAGGGTATTCTAAGTTCGGCAAGGTACTTCTTGGTTGTCGGTGTTGGCATCCAAACGTTCTGTCAGTAATATGTATGTTATGGCTGTGCTTGTTGATGTTGACTCCAGAGCATTCAAATCGTGGAACTCGTTCATCCAGGCTTGAATTTCGTCCTGGCCATCCATCTTAGTCGTTGCCAGACTTTGAAGTGCTAATCCCGGATACTTGCAGGCGTCTATCATCGACGATCCAAGAAACCTAGTTCAACATTTTGACTATTTGACGCCTATCTTGTGACAAGCGAAAAAATGGCAGTGAAAAGTGGTGTACCAATTTATCAGCGACACAGAGAACAGTGTTCTTATTTTTGAAGTGTAACGAATTGGAGGCTGGTATTCTCATCTTTATAAAGTTTCCTGTTGGGATAACACAGTCTTCCAATACCCTGCTGTGTGCAAGGCAGGCTTAACTGCCTATAAAAGGTTTGTGCTATTATTTACTTTGTACAGGGCTAAGTTAAAGATAGCACACTGAGTTACCCTTTTTCTTCCTTCAGCTAAAAATGTACATTTCAGAGCAATGGTAACACCTACATGACTAGTATAGGTCATAAAACACATCAACAACTCACAGACAGCTTTTACACATCATTGCCATCAGTCAGAATTTTTTTGAAACATGAAATTGAATGGTCAACCCATTTCTGCCCATCCTTCCTGTAAAATAATCTGCTTTCCCCTAATACATTTTTTTTTGTAAGAATTAGCATGCTACAGCTGTTTTGGAATAGCTGTCTCAATTCCTGATTTAATTATGAAAGGATAACAGCTCTACATAAGTGGTTCTCAAGCTTCATTTTCATTCCCAATGAACCTTTGTGTTGGGGGGGTCCTTGCACTGCAGAGCTGCAGGTCTAGAAGGTAGAAATGGTTTTAGGTCACTTCCAAAAAATATTATTCCTGCCATTCATCCAGTAGGTGTGACCTTTGACTCTGAAGTGTTGTGGAAGTGGGATATATGACAGGCTTCATCTAGTTTTTTGTTAGCATCCTGGTCTTCACAGAATATAATGCATATAGGCTCATGCATTTTTCCAGGAAAAAGATGTCGGTTTTAATGGTCCCTTTATCAAGTTTGAAACCATGGTGCAATTCCCAGTAACAGCCAGGCCTTTCCTGAATGATCCATTCACTTATCTTAGACTTGATAAGGAAGATCCTGCTTGCTTTGTTCTGCCTGACTTTTTGTTGGCACTAGCAATGCAATGACCCATATCCCTCTGTTTACTTCCCCCTGCTATCAGGGAAAATGCTTTCCTCAGTACCTGTATTTACTTACTCCATGGAGACCTGAAATCTCCAAGCTCTCAATGCCTAGTCTTATCTACTGTCTGCTGTTGCAACATTGCATTTCAAGTGATGGTTATTATGTAAGTGAGAATTTTAAAAAGTTTGAACTTAATTGCTTTTACAACCACAGGTGTGATTTCGAGAGCTTTCTTCTTCCTGTTCAAGTTTTTTTTTCAAGATTCCTTCTTCTTCTGCTCAGCTATCAAATAGCAGCAAAGTATGTCATCCACATTTCCCCGCGAGAAATTCAAAGCATCAATTATTGTATCTCCTCGTGATGGCTTGTTTGTATCCGTAGAGAGAATGGGTTTACGAAGCTTGCGAAAATGTGGAGAAACCTTATTATTACCCCAAAGCGGGGAGAGATGTTCGCAGTCCGTCTCCACTATCAATTGGCCGACTGATTTCATCTATCCCCGGCAGCGCCTATAATGAAAATGAATGTGAGTGTACAGTTTTAGTTGTTTTTTCCCACTAATGGCCTTGCCCTTTTTATCTGTTCAGGATTTATTTTAGTGATTTTTTTTATTAAATGAGAAGTCATTGTTACATCAAATGTTCATGAGAAGTGATGTGCATTTGTGCAAGCTGATTCTCTAACTTGACTATTTTCAATTGCAAGATGAGAACTGGGGGAGAGAGAGCCTGGAGACATGTTTCCCAGAGTTGGAAGAACCAACTCTCGGAGACCAGCCAGATGAGGAGCTCGAACAACTGCAGCCAATGGGAACAGAATTGGAGGAACTCCAACCGGTGGAGGTGAAGCAACTAGAACCTGAGGAATTGTATGGCTACCTTAAGGGGAAGACCATTGTTCCATATGAGACAGTGATCCAGCAGAACATTTCATCTGCAAATACTCTGGTGCTGGAGGTGCCAGAGGTGCCAGACACTATTGGCCATGGCTTCCTGCCTCGTTCTGAATCTCCCAGCAGCAATTCATCCTCTTCTGATGGTGCTAGCACTTCTCAGGTTTGCTTGTCGCCCTGTTATTGTTTGAACAGAAATATTGTAGCAGGAAGTCTGATAAGAGTTCATCCTTAACTTGTGTACCTGCTGTAAAATATATTACACATATATGTAACTCAGTTTCAATACCCTACAGATATGAGAAAGTCATTTGGGGATTAAAATGAAATTTAACCTACAAAATTTTGGTTATCTCTTAAATTTCTTTTTGTGTTCATGCCATTGACACTAATGACTTAAATTTCTCTTGTCATAAGGAGGATGAGAGAGACTCAGGGAGCACAAGTGATGATGATGCACCACCTCCCAAGAAGCGAAGGCGTCCCAAGCTGGACAAGTCTGATCCGAAGTATGCCCTCATACGGGTACAGAACAATCAATCCTCGAGAAAATGTCGGCAGAAACGGAAGCTCAAGATCCAGGAAAAGGAGGAGGCCCTGCAGGATCTGGAGGAGAAAGTTAATAATCTCCGACAGAAGAAAGAAGAGCTCCAGAACATTCTAAAATGGTTTAAGCCATTTGTTATGCGTACGGTTGTGGCTCGCCCACCACCTTTAGTTATCAACATTGGCGAAGCCTCGTCTCTTGCTCCAACTCAGCTCTCATGCAGTTGAACTAAATTTGTGAAATACCAGCATATACAGGATGTGTAGTGCTTTTTGTTTCTGCATTCTAAAAAATCTCCCAGGACCATCTCCTAATTTGCTTTTCTCTTTGTATATCATGTATACAATGGACTGATTGGTCTCTTGAGATTTATTGAATAAAATGGTGTTGCTAACCATGTCAAGTGGGGACATTTTCTGTATAGTGTGTATCCTGAATCCTTGTGCTGCGGCGTTGTGGCAACACAGGAGGACCACCATAAAAGGGATTAGCACTTGTCAACTGAGTTGATAGAAGACCCCAACAATGAAATTTCAAGGGAAGAGGGATGTGAAGACAGATAAAAAAGCTGGCATTTGTAAACAAATATTCCCCTTCGTCAACATTATTGCTCTCGTTTGTCATCGGCAGTGGCACTCATGAACCTCATTACCCTTTGACTATCGTGCACAATGATTCAGAATATCGACTATAGGTAATGGAAAAGGACTTCATGGACCTTGCAGGAAGAGTTCTTGAGAGAGACAAATTTGTGTTACATGCATGGGTACTCATGGAATGGCTGACTCATGCTCATGTATGCACATGTATGGGATACTCATGGAGTACAACTGATGTGTCATGGTTCTTGGTTGCTAAGGTGAATGAACATGTCTTACTTTGTCAAAAACTTCTAGGATTCAGTGTAGTGTTATGTTGCTTGCTTAGCATTCTTAGGCTAGACATAGATTGGCTGATGCTTTGAATTGGGACAAAGTGTCATGTAGCAACCCAGGGCATTGTAACAAATGTTCAAGACTTGTCATGATTTCATGGGATCATTTGGATCCAACAGGATGAAGATGAAATTGTCTGCCTCTGGCTCTCCCATTGTTAAACTTTGAGTTGAAGGTAGTGTGACATTCAATATTTAGCACCATGAGGACCTGACTGATATGGGTTAAGCAGGAAAAAAAAAATTACTTCTGGAAGGTACATTTGAGCATGCTGACATGTCTGTGAAAGGTAGTCTGTCCACCAGCAGCATTTCAGCACCTGTCCATGAGTGTTAGGAATTGACCAGTTATTTGAAGAGGGGGGGGGAGTAGTCTTTGTCTTCTACCACTGTGGCAGTGAGGTGCTTGGCTGGGAAACACCCTGGTCTCTATACCCCTCGAGCATTAAGACTAGAAGTTGCAATTGTGGTGAAATATTGCTAGTTAACTAGCAACTTTCATGGATGTGTCTGCAATCCCTAAGTTTACTTTCTAGAAAAATAACTTTTCTTTTCACTAAGTTTCATTCATTGTAAGTCTTTTTTGACATTGGCTTTTCCTGTAAGTTGCAGTGTTTAATAAGTCATAAATTATTTTTAAAAAAGATGGAAAAGACCACGTACTGCACCGTTTACACCGACGAATAGCGGTATGGCAAAAATTTAAGGAAGAAATTTCGGGGGGTGGGTTTGAATCCCATGAACACCCCCCCCCCCCCCCCCCCCCCCCCCCCTAAAAATTTGGGGGGGTGGGTTTGAATCCCCTGAACCCCCCCCCCCCCCCCCCCCTTAAATACGGCCTTAATGCAGTGGGATCTTAAAGTCAAGTACTTCGATTCAGGTCTTTCCAAAGCCTTTTCATAATTGCCTTTTTTGAAGAGATTTTGGCTACTCTTCTGTTTTGATCACGACATGCAAGGTATCCATGGACTTGCAGGACCTCCGGGAAGGTGTTAGCATAGAGGTATAACTAGAGGCTTCCACTATGCTCAAATCCCATTCATTGACTGGGTCGCAATATAGATGTCACTGTCGCTCCTCCACCTAGAGTGCCCACATCGGCAACTACTCCAACCCGCCGAGCAGTGGACTCAACGAGACACGCGTGTTACGATGAGGGATCCCTTTGGGTCGAATCCCCGAACGAATCGATTTCCGATTCCGCTGCCACGAAGCACGCCTCGTGGAAGTGTTGTTGATCACAAGCCGCCAGATGTCAGTAATGTTTCGACCCCCACCTTACCCCTTGGAGTGTCGCCTCTAGTTAAATTCTCTTTTCTATGGTATTAGCTTTCAAGTACACAAAACAAAACTTAGGCAAGTAGGGTAGGTGATTCAAATTCCAACCTTGCTATAAGTTCCGCTCCCAAGCTATATATTTCAACTCAATCAGAAGTACAAGCTGACTTTTTGCTACTTAATTATGCAAGCGTTTGATCCCTAAACGTAAATGGGTGGTGTATGCATTTCCCTCTCGATTGGCATATGTCTCGAAAAGATTAATATCAAACCATTGTTGAGGAGGCGGATTTTGAGCTTAAGGGGGTCGGAATTTGTATCACCTACCCTAGCAGCAAAAGCTTACTTTGCTGTGCAAGCATCCAATGCCTCTGCATTGGGAGGGGGGGGGGGACGCGATCCAACGTGATTCTTACTCTGTTTAGCACGTAATGAAGTTTGCTCTCCAGTATAATCCTGTTTTCATTTTAATGAACTGTGCAGTTCTTGTAAAAGAAGGCTTACGAGCAAGTTAGCATGTTTAGGTGCACGCAAAAAAATGTTACCTAATAGTTCCTTTTTCTAGAGGTGGGACAGAAGTTTTCCGTTCTTAGATATACAGTCCTTGGAAAATCGCTGGGTCGAGATTTTTGCGCAGCCGATGCAGCCACGGACGTCATCTCGGGTAGGCCAGGGAGAGGGGTGGCAAACCTCCATCCGTACCTCTTTGCCTTCCTCCGACCGTGATGCTCCCCTGTCCCCTGCCCCCTCCCCCTGCCCCCTCCCCCCTGCAGAGTTCGTAATGACGTCCCTGCATGCAAGGAGAAAAGGGCAATAGTCTTAGCCTCTGAGGTCAGCCAGAATTTCTTTTCGACTAGGGCTACACATGGGAACGATTTTCACTTGACAAACTGGGACACGGATCTGGCAACCCTGGCTCGAGGGAGTTCTGCCCTTCTGCCAGACTCGTCGTCAGTCGTGTCTGGCAGCCCCTGGCCACGTTCCAGACGTCTGTGCCACGCCCATCCAAGGGTGAGTCTAGTCTTTTGAGTACCGTCGGAAAATTTTCCCTCGATGGAACGTGACTTAAAATGCAAGTTTAGTTCTTTCTTCGTGCTGCGACCCGCACGCAATGAAGAATGGCCGACTCCTTTGGCTTTCACGTTCGAACACCTTAGAGCAGCAAATTAGAGGAATGGAACGAGGATAGAGACCTGAATCATCTTCATATGACTATTATACGAATTTCTCCCCGTATGCGGAAAGCATGAAACGTGAAATATGTACGAAATCCTTCAATATCTCACGAAAGTCCTCACTGTCAAATAAGTTCTCTTTAACGTTACTATTCAGGAAATCCCGTTTTCTTTGTGCCAATCCGGTTCCGGAGGGAAACACAGAAGCCTAAGGGCAGGGATTTGAACCCTTGTCATTCAAGAAAAAGTTGATAACGCCAACCCGGGAGCCGAAATGCTCCGAGGCTTTTTTTTAAATATTTATCTGCTAGCTTATGGGTTCATAGAATGCACATCAATCGGAGTCCGGTTCATCGGCAGAATGCACATCAACCGGAGTCCGGTTCATCGGCAGGAAATTTCCACGCAGTGGCTCTCCTCGAAATAACTCTTCAGCTATTTCTTCGTTGTTAGACCCAGCCCCACCAACATCACGAATCCCCAGCCAATAGGGTCGATCATGGTCCCGAGGCGCATTTCTTGATTGGAGGAGCAGTCCCGATTCGAAGGTAAACAAGGTTAACAGAGAGGATAACCCTTTCCAATCTCCGAGCGTCGACTCCATCTAGATTCCGCCTTTCCTCGACCCAAGCTTTTTAAGATCATTAAGGGAATCGATAAAGTGGAGCGTTGTAGGTTCGTCTTCCAACTCGTATGGTAACTGCAGAACGAGAGGAAACCGGTTCAAGTTGCACAGACTCCGAGCGAGACTCAAGTTGCAGAATCATTTATTTACTCTTTAGATAGCAAAAGCGTGGAATGCGTCAAGTGATGTAGTGACTGCCGTGATTAGCTTCAAGAAGAGATTCGATGCTTTCATGGACAAAACGAAACTAGAGTACCAGTTCAGGTACAGATCTTCCATTCCATTGGCACCTATTCTACTGGAATTATTTTACTCGCCGCATCCTAGCAATCCAACCTTGAAATAAATAATAGTTGTGATTGGTACGTTATTGGCCGATATGAAAAGGCCCGGACAACTAGACACGTTCTCGATGGTTCGCGCGTCCGTGTTGTGTGGAGATGGGAGGACGTACTAAGTGTAGGATGCCAGATGCGGCACTTCACGCCTACGCCGAGGAACCCATTTTATGCGGCCACGAACAGCTCCTCTCTCCTATTCTCCACTTTGGATTCGTTATCCGCGAGGGCTGGAAGGGAAGTGGAAGTTTTAGTCGTAGACTGGCACCCCGACCAAGGCGGAAAGCTGCACATGCGCACTGAGTCGATTTGTCGGCAGGACCGGATTAAGGTTATGTGGGGCCTAAGGCTAATGGGAGGGAAAAGCCTCTGGACATGAGAAACTTCGCTCAGCTGTTACTTCAATATGGATAATATGGATTGGAGGGCCTAAGGTTATAGATTTATTAGCCTATGGGTTGATCCGGCCCTGGTTGTCGGTCGCTATGAGTAATGCGAAACAGACGGAATGAAAAAAAAGACAGTGATTGCAATATCTGCCATTTTCCCACAGTACCTATGGGATTGCCAGATAACGGAGCCATGTAGCTGTACGCGACTCGGCAGTAGGTGGATATGCTCTCACAAAAATGTTAATCTTCAAGAGCGGCACGCCTATCTTATGCACGAACGCTCGACCTTTGCACGGGATGTAATCATTGGCGAAAATGCCTCTTGTCGTGCCTATCTGAACCTTGAACCTTAATCCTTGATCTCTTGATGCCTCCATTCTTGTTTCAATCAGCATTCTTTCTCTTTCTGCATCTCCACGATCGATTCAATGCTCCCAGTGACCTCATGAGAACTACTCCAATGGGTACTCGGTGGTGATACAGAGGAGAAACAAGAGATATTAGGGATCTTTCCTTGCTCTCTTATTGCCCCCCACTGTTATTTCTTGTTACTTTACTTTAAATTACTTCTCTGATCACGTAGGGCGTAGCCAGGATTTCATTAATGAAGGGGCAAAGGGGAACAGAAGGGGGCTAGAATTTTCCAAACTTCTCGGCGATGGTGGCTGATGTATCTAGACCAGATTTGGGGTGTGCTTGAGCCAAACTTGGAGAGCTTTCATGCCACCCCCCCCCCCCCCCTTAACTCCCACCCTCGCTACGCCACTTCATTAAGGGTAAGGCGTATTCAAATCAAGAGGGCTTAGCTTTTCACCCTCGCGTGGTACAGGTTTATAGTGTTTAACCTGTCTCATCTTGTAAAAGCCCAGGGTAGTGTGTTGCGTTATCTTCATACTAGATATGGATGAATGAAAGATTGCTTTGACTGGAAAGGACTGTGGTAGACCTTGATGGGCATTGGAAACAGTCGGTACGTGTTAATGGTCCACCCTATATTATATTATGTTATTTTAACGTTCATATACTAATCCGTATGAACTCTCACGCTCATTCACATGAACTTATGGCATTATTATGTAATACCATATCATACAGGGTGATACAAAATTAATTTTGCTATGGAATTTCAATTGTATTTCTTGGTGGAGGATTTCTTTGGAAATCAGGATTATTTCTCTCGATCTGTGGCCTCCGAGGCCCCCTGATTTTTTTTTTTATCCATGGGGAATGCCGAAACAACGTAAGGACAATCCCCATTCATTGGAAGAACTTGAAATGGCAATAACCGATGTCCCAGGCGACGTCACGCGTACCATGTGATGAAGAGCATTTAAAAAATTGAAGTCAGAAACTCGAGTGCCTCTGGCATTAGCGCTTCGCAGTGTGCCAAAGCGACCAATTGCAAATCGCAACCTATTGCAAATCGGCCTCGTGAACGTGAGGCTAGACGCACGCTCAGGGCCGGCCCTAGCTATTTCGGTGCCCTATGCAAAGAGACTCCCAACGCCGCCCCCCCCCCCCCCCCCCCCCCCCCCCCCCCCNAAAACCCCCCCCCCCCCCCCCCCCCCCCCCCCCCCCCCCTCTGAAGGGAGAAGGATCAACCCTTAGCCTCCAAAAAGACGCCGAAACGGAAGGCATTCCCACTTTCTCAAGTGAAACCGAGGGTGGTATCCATTATTGCTTCATTCATTCTGGCGCGTTTCAGCACCCCTTGGTGAATTTGCGCCCTGTGCGAGGGCACATCTGGCTCATGCTTAAGGCCGGCCCTGCGCACGCTATTGCAACTTAAGTTTCTACTTGTAAACTTGGCATCGAGGCTGAATGATGGTATAGTCGAACTCTGTTATAACGTCGATGAAGGGACCAGGGAAAAATCGTT